AGGAGCAGGCAGAGCCTGAAGGCACAGAAGGTATTATCAAACTCAATAATTAACCCTCTGTAAACCRCAGTGTATCAGGAAGACAGCAAAAGTTGTTCACTGTTGGACTTTAGATGSAAAGGAAAACAATTATCCAGGAAAAAACAACRCTCCATTATCCTCAGTACATCAAGTACCCTGCTATCAGGGTTTATGTAACTTATGCTGAGAACAATTGATACTTTAAATTGGTCTTTATTCTCTTTCAAGAAGCTGAGTGTTATGGATGTCCCTTCAGTCAAACCTTTATTCGAATAGGGCTTGCAATTGGGAAACAGCCCAGTGATTCAGTTCTWACATGATAGGGGACCATGTTCCCATTTGCCTTCTCCTATCAGATGCTCAGGGAAGTCAGCTGTGAGAGGTATTTCATTCCTTTCCTTTGATGGCAYAGAACCAACAACCCCTGTCTTCAGTCCATGAGCAATGCGTCCCCTTGTTAAAGGACAAGGCAGGAGATGGGGAGCACCACTGGTAACAGGATGAAGCCCAGCAAGTTTTACTGAACATGAGAAACAGAAGCTCAGAAAAGGTTGTAGGCAGTGGATCTGAAGGAGARCACAGATATTTTCTGAATTCCACTCTTTTGTGTGGTTTTGATCACCCATGAATGTAGATCAATATCTGATTGTTGTCACTGCAGATCCTGAGCTGGTCATGTACTGCATGCATTCAGACTAGCAAGCTTCTGTTTTCGGTTTTGTGCCAGTAGATTTTTAAAAACTTCATTACTTCTACATGCTGCAGTGAAGAACTTTAAACAGAATTTCCTTTAGGAAAGCTCAATATGCATAATGACAAGTGTGATGTAAYAAAAATTCCTTCAGTGAGTCTTTCAAAAGTTTTCAAAGAACAGAAACTGGAACCCTTCAGCCTTTCGGGAATGCCCTCGCATTCAAAGCCTATTGGACATAAAAGTCTTCCTTTTTACTMTGGCTTTTCAGTTGCTGACAAGGCTGCCTACCTGATGGGTCTGAACTCAGCTGATATGCTCAAGGCCCTCTGCTACCCCCGAGTCAAGGTGGGGAATGAATATGTGACCAAGGGCCAAACGGCACAGCAGGTAAGAAACATAATGTAACCTGTAACCATGTATAGAATGAACATCCTTTTGATTCTTTTCTGCCCTGTATGGCAACTCCAGGCATTTTTTTCAACAGGTGCACAATTCTGTGGGTGCTCTGGCAAAGGCACTCTATGAGAGAATGTTCCTGTGGATGGTTGTTCGCATCAACCAGCAGCTGGATACGAAGCAGCCCAGGCAGTACTTCATTGGTGTCCTGGACATTGCTGGCTTYGAGATCTTTGATGTAAGTTGGATTTGGTAAGAGCTATTTGTAAGTGTGAACTGAATGTTAAGATCAATTTGAGACACGTTTTTAAAGAAAACAAAATAACATCACATGATTATTGCTATTTGTCTTTTTTAAGTAAAAAAATGACCTTTTGAAGGACTTGTCCTGTTTCAAGATGTGCAAACACAAAAGTACAGAATATTCAATCAAAAAATTTCATTGTTTATATGATCAGGGACAAGACAGTGTAAAAATATGTATGTAATGATAATCCTAAACTTGAGGTTTTTCTTCCTGTAACTTGGTCTCATTTTAAACAGGTAATATAATTTRTCTTTAAAATGTTGTCAATGAAAAGAATTTCCTTAAGGACAATTAATTTGATGCTTTTCTCTTTTTCATAATGTCATAAAACAGAYTGAAGAAATGCATGGGAAGTCAAGYTAACTGCATTCCTTAATTTTAAAAGATGAGGTCTTGCAATTATTGCTGYGTCTTCAAATATGCGTCTTTCTTATTTTATTTCCAGTTCAACAGCTTTGAGCAGCTGTGCATCAACTTCACCAATGAGAAACTGCAACAGTTCTTCAACCACCACATGTTCGTGCTGGAGCAGGAGGAGTACAAGAAGGARGGMATTGAATGGACATTCATTGATTTTGGGATGGACCTGGCTGCCTGCATCGAGCTCATTGAGAAGGTATCCTTCCTGTTCAAATGAGTTACATGCACATTATTATTTGGTCTCATTTTTCAAAGGGATCTTCTGTGTTCATGTCTAAGTATTCAGCTTTTCTTATTGAAATACCTTGCCCTGTAGTTTACTTTCTGGTCAAGTGAGGCATGAAACMGATTGTGGCAGCCTTGTGACACAAAATCTGTACTGATCTCTTTTCAAGTGCAGGAAGTTTATCTAACTCCTRATAAGAGTGTTCTTCCAAACCAGTTAGAGTCAATTCCATGTCAGTGTGTGCCCCTCACCTTTCAGCTTTRACACCTGTGCTTGTGCAGCAGAAGAACTGCATCTTTGTAAAATGAACATAGAAGTGGRACATACAGAACTGTCAGTGCACAGTTGCACAGGCATTGCATCCGTGGCTGGCAGTGTGAAGGCCGTTGTACTGCACATGAGATGCAGCTTAAGAGGCTGGTAGGGTGAGGAGTAGTTAGAATAGAACCACAGAGCTGCTGAGGTCTACCTGCAGYTCTGGACATCGTTTAATGTAACCCACTTGTTCAAGGCAGGGTCAACTAGAGCAGGTTACTCAGGACCATGTCCAGCAGGGTTTTTAACATCCCCAAGAGTGCAGACTCCACAGTTTCTTTAGGAAACGTGATCTAACTTTTGACCAACTTCACAGTAAAAATACTTCTGTTTAAAGGAAATTTAGTGTGTTTCAGTTCATGACTCTTTCTCCTTGTCCTRTCACYGGACACCACWGAGCTTTCTCTTCTTCATCCCCTTCCTTCAGATATTTATAAACATCAGTAAGATGCCCCAGAACCTTCCCATTTCCATGAACAGATCCTTCTCTCTCAGCTTATTTCTGTGTGGCAGATGTTCCAGTCACTTTAATATCTTTGTGGCTGCTCACTGGGCTCACTCAACTCTGTGTTTCTCTTGTACTGGGTAGCCAAGAGCTGGAACAGCACTCCAGATGTTTCTTCTCAGAGCTGAGGGGAAGCTGTCAGCAGCACAGTGTAGCTGAAGATGAGTTGGCAGCTTGGCTGCAATGGTGTACTGTTGGCTCATGATTGATTTGTCCAACACATCTGTGTGTGCTCTGAGTTCCACTGAATAAGGAGGTAGTGCTCTGATTTTATAAAGCACATTGTCAACACAAAATTAATATTTATTTCTTTAATAAGTAATTTTGTGTAATAAATGTAACTAACAATGTAATAAATCCCACTTTTTAGAAGAAAATGTAATTAAATAGTAACATTTTCTGATATGTATCTCAATCTATGACCAATAATGAAGGTCATTATTGTCCTGAAAGCTAAATTACAATGTCTCCTTTGTGATTTCTCCCAGCCCATGGGCATCTTCTCCATCCTGGAAGAGGAGTGCATGTTCCCCAAGGCAACTGACACCTCTTTCAAGAACAAACTCTATGATCAGCACCTGGGCAAGTCCAGCAACTTCCAGAAGCCCAAGCCTACYAAAGGCAAGGCTGAGGCTCACTTCTCCCTGGTGCACTATGCTGGAACAGTGGATTACAACATCACTGGCTGGCTGGAGAAGAACAAGGACCCTCTGAATGAAACTGTCATTGGGCTGTATCAGAAATCATCTGTRAARACGCTGGCTTTACTTTTTGCCAACTATGGTGGAGCAGAAGCAGGTTGGTTATTCGAATCCCATGTTTTCACTGATGTACACCTTACAAAAAGGAATCAAAGAAGGCAAAAGAAAAAAATMTAAAATCTGTTCTATTTATTTTCAATTTAGCGGAGGCAAGTGGTGGTGGCAAGAAAGGTGCCAAGAAGAAGGGTTCTTCATTCCAGACTGTCTCAGCACTTTTTCGGGTACAGTAGAGAATTCAATATTTCTTCCTAAGATGAGGAGTAAACCCACCAATTACTATGGTTACTCTTGTTTTGGCTTGATTCTGTTAAAAGATTCTGAAGTTTCTGAGCCACATTTTGTTAAGTATAAATCCAGTTAATCTACTCATACTTCATTTCACTGAATGCATAGCTTTTCCATTTGTTCACTTGTCTCAGGATGAAGTTTCCAGATGGAAAAATGTCACGTAGAAAACTTCTAAAATACATTTCAAATATAGCTCCAGATGCACATTTCTTTCTTCAGAAACCTCAGAAATCCTCTTACAACATTCTGCCCACTGTTGACCTGTTTGCTCAATTTGTATCTCTAATTTTTCTCCATAACTCAATGATCCATTTCTTACACTTGATATGCCATCACTCCTTGGGTTATACATTTTTGCGATGTCAGATACTTGACAGTCCTTTGTCATAACCAAGTCTTGCTGCCTGGCTGCTCCATACACTTCTGCCAGGTGAAATAGCTCTTGTCTCCTGAAGTATTACCCTTTTTATCCTTCATTTATTGCTTCCTTCTTTATATAGATTAATTTCTTCCACAGATTTGCTTCATCACCTCCAGCCAGTGCTCTGAGAAAGATATGGGCATGTGTGTATATGGCTTAAGAAAAATTATCATTGAATCATGGAATATGCTGTGTTGAAAGGGACCCATCAGGATCATGTAGTCCAACTCCAAGCTCCGCACAGACACCCCAACAACCCCACCCTGTGCCTGAGAGCATTGTCCAAACATTCTTTGAGCTCTGGTTGCCTTGAAGCCATGACCATTCCCTGGGGAGTCTGCTCTGTGCCTGACTACCCTCTGGGTTAATAATCAGAGATGTACTGCCTGTATCATTCAAAAATAATGCAAAAAGCCTATATTTAAAGGTCATAGGATTTTAGGAAGTAATATTGTAGCAGAAATATTTTTGGGTGTATTTGGGTTGCGTTTGCTATGTTTCCAAATTTCCACCATCCCTCTTGTTTAGACATGACAGTGTTTAGACATTAGAAGTTTGTCTGCTTCATTTACATGCTTTGAGATGTCCTCTAGAGACATCTGCTTCCCTCCACTAATTATAGGCAATATTTTTTTATAAATACGTATAAAAATATCAATCATAAAACTAGGCTAGCATTCATCTCAGCTTACCCTACAAGATAAATGTATAATCTAGACATTTAAAGCTCAACTTGTTGGCTGTGTCTCTTTTGCTTTTAGTAGGGAAAAATGAAAGTTCCATGCAGAGAACCATATGACCCAATGCCTACAGCAGAATGCTTCACCCTGTCTCATAAGGGTACCACTTTATCTCTCTGAACAGATCCAGGGGAAGATGGATATAATTTCTTATGAAGACAGTCCACTAGAGTCAGTGAAATGTATTAAAATTGTATGTTTAAGAGTACAGTATTTCCTACAAATTACTCAGAAGAACTTCATATACTAATTAGTAACAGCAAAGATCTGTGGAAAATCAAAAGAGAGCTTCAGTTCAGGCTTCGGCTAATTTTTGTATGAGATCTCATTTCAGGGAACTTGATGCTTACAGAAGAAATTACATTTTGCTAATATCAGCTTTTCTTAATGACTCTCCCAGGAGAACTTAAACAAGCTGATGACCAACCTGAGAAGCACCCATCCCCACTTTGTACGGTGCATCATCCCAAATGAAACTAAAACCCCTGGTAAGAGACTTACATATATACTGAAGGTTTTCARYATGGTGCAGTTCTTCCCCACCATATTACAGAACATGGCATGCATTTGTGCTTTTCATTGCCAGGTGCCATGGAGCATGAATTGGTGCTTCACCAGCTGCGYTGTAAYGGTGTGTTGGAAGGGATCAGGATTTGCAGGAAAGGATTTCCCAACAGAGTCCTGTATGCAGATTTTAAACAGAGGTCAGACTTTATCCTCTTACTAGATCACTCTGTCCATCTTAAATTGCTTTTGAAAACAACCTTCCCACCCTAAAGCCTTCTGTAAAGTTTCCGTTTAAGAAAGATTGTTTGTTCTCGATAGCTCTTAAGACTATTTCTTGCCATGCATCCAATTGTTGGTCTCAACAACAGACCTCTTCATATTCATAGAATCACTTATGTATATCACCTTAACACCATGGAGTTCAAAGCAAGTCCTTGCATTTTCTTCCTTAGGTACAAAGTACTAAATGCCAGTGCTATCCCAGAGGGACAGTTCATTGACAGCAAGAAGGCTTGTGAGAAACTTCTTGGATCCATTGATATAGACCATACTCAATAYAAATTTGGTCACACTAAGGTACAAGATCTGTTTGCTTCAAGCTTTATATGGCTTTGGTTTGCATGGCTTGATACTGATACTCAGACACTCTAGACAGCACATAAAATGATCCAGTAGGGTATAAGAAATAGCATAAAAGCAATCAACCAAATTCTTGCTTACTCAACACTTGAATAAATGGAATAAATGGAAATTCATGGCCATAGGATGATTTAATAAAGGGTTAATTGGATTCCTAATTTAAGGCAAAGTTGTAGAATAACATAACCAAGAGTYAATAAAAATAGAAGAAAAATGTCTGGCTATTATAGTTCCTCAACTGCAAGTAACCAGAAGCTTGGAGTTGGAGTAAGATTGAAGAATGTCTGCCACTCCATATATTCTTTGAGATTTTGCTCTTGACTTATACAGAGTTATCCATGGGGAGCAGGGTATTAGGTTATATTGAACAAGTACAGACACTGCACCTGTTTTCATGTTCTTACCTCAGGTGTTCTTCAAAGCTGGGTTGGTGGGCCTCCTGGAGGAGATGAGGGATGAGAAGCTGGCACAGCTCATCACCCGCACACAGGCCAGGTGCAGGGGCTTCCTGATGAGAGTGGAGTACCAGAAAATGGTGGAGAGGAGGTAGACTTTTCTTCAAAGTAGATTCCCTGTACTTACTGTGTCATTGTTGTATAAATATTGAATATTAATTTGACTTCTCTTTCAGAGAGTCCATCTTCTGCATCCAGTACAAYATCCGTGCRTTCATGAATGTCAAACACTGGCCATGGATGAAGCTGTTCTTCAAGATCAAGCCCTTGCTGAAGAGTGCAGAGTCTGAGAAGGAGATGGCCAACATGAAACAAGAGTTTGAGAAAACCAAGGAAGARCTTGCAAAGTCTGAGGCAAAGCGGAAGGAGCTGGAGGAGAAAATGGTGAAAYTGGTSCAGGAGAAAAATGAYCTGCAGCTCCAAGTACAGTCTGTAAGTACCATCAGCAGTCTTTAATTCTACTCTGACTATCAGGTTGATATTTACAGGTACATTTTCAAACAACATAGAAACTTGAATTTAGTTCCGTTCAATAGCAAAGCTTTAAGAGGTGCTCTAAAAAGTATAACTAGCTTCTGTAAGGACTGTCATGTACCTGTAGTCAAAACATTATTCAGTTGAGACTTTTCTATGGTGTATGCTGAGATATTCCTATGATTAAACCAAAATTTATGGACTGCATTCCAATGTTTGACATTATGAGTTAAAACTGGATGCTATACCCTGCAARATATATAAATAGTCATGTCTTCAGGTAGATTGAAAAGGATTTTACTTGGTCTTAGTTTTTAATTCTGGCTGTTTCACAACTAACAATATAAAATCCATTCTATATTATATGTCATTCTGTTAGAACATGAATCAAATTTTAAACCACAAAACTGCTATCCAGGACTCAGAACTATGAAGATAACTTTCTCAGTATTCCCTCAAAAAGCAWATCCTGAAAAATGGCATCTCCCTMCCAGGAAGCTGATGCCTTGGCTGATGCTGAGGAAAGGTGTGACCAGCTCATCAAAACCAAAATCCAACTGGAAGCCAAAGTCAAGGAAGTGACTGAAAGGGCTGAGGAGGAAGARGAAATTAATGCTGAACTGACAGCCAAGAARAGGAAACTGGARGATGAATGTTCAGAGCTGAAGAAAGATATTGATGACCTTGAGCTAACACTGGCCAAGGTGGAGAAGGAAAAACACGCCACTGAAAACAAGGTATGAGGCAGAACCTCACAGTCRCGCACARTCTGGAAAAGAYCTGTCTTGTTRTAAAGTTTTAAGYACCATTTTCTATTTGTGCTTGCTSCTTTCTTCTCAAAGGTGAAAAAYCTGACGGAGGAGATGGCAGCCCTGGATGAGACCATTGTGAAGCTGACAAAAGAGAAGAAAGCCCTCCAAGAGGCCCATCAGCAGACCCTGGATGATCTGCAGGCAGAAGAGGA